TATTAAAAGATCTATTAGACAGGAATGTGATTCTAATTTATTAGACATTAGATTATAACATGTAATAAAAATAAATTTTGAAGTTTTATCGTTACGACTATATACATGTACATGTAAATTAATCAATGATATGTATAAAGCATATTGAGTAACTATTTATAATAGTTCAACAACAAACTGTTCTGATCGCACTACGTAATTCGAAAACAGTAATAATTGAAAGCTAGTGGATAGACAACACATTTATCGATATCGATATATTTAAATTTAAATATTCGCCAATACTTTCTTGTAGCCGGTGCACAGATTAATTTTCATAAAAATTTCATATTGTTATCAATCGATATGGTACATATGCACGTAAATTCAAGAACTTAGCATTAGTGCATTCATTTTTAAAAATATTCACGCAATTTGAGTGTGCATAGGTCAGACTGTGGTCCACCTAAACTTATCGTGTACATTATCATCTCTATCGTCTCAAATACAATATTGTACACAGTGAAACTCGATATAACGGACGATCGATATAGCGAATTTGGTCTATAACGATATATAAATTTTGTCTGTTATAGCTGATCCGTCGATTTACCGGATAGTATAGCAGGAACGGAGGGGTCCTTTGTATCGAGTTTCACTGTGTATCAACATCGATATTATTTCGCTAAAAAGGCTATTATTGAAAAAAATCCAATTATTTGTATCGTATGCAATTGTATCCTGATTTTCAGTACAATTAAAATTCGCCCAACTAAAATGGAGTAACATGAACACGGACAGGCCGTGCCTGACAGTCCGCGCCGCACTTCTTATGTCCGGGGCTTTTACGTCCAAGATACATGTAGATCTTCACTTATATATTAATTACGGTCACTCACCGGTGAATTCTCGAAATTCTCAAAAGGTGGGTAGCCTGAGAGAGTAATCTTTAAAGCCAATATTTAAGGTTCAAAGTTAGTGTCACATGAAAGCGGAAGTTTTGAATAATACTATGCGGAGTAACCGGCGAAAGTAATGGCGGTGAATTGTTATATAAATTTTACTACAGTTCTAAAATTTTTTATAGAAGCAAAATATAAATAATAGTACCAAATTTCTAACAAGATAATGACAAATAAAAAAATAAAAATTGCGAAAATCTAATAGGAGCACATCGGCAAGTCATTTTTCCGATTGCAGGTTTTTAAAATTTTCAAAGCTTATTTTCTCGATGATCAGTGATCAGATTTTTGTACATGTAATTTGGTCTTATTATATTCGCCTCAATAAGGCGAACATTTTGGTAGCAATTTCATTTTGATCAGAATAATATTTATATAATTATTGTGAATTATTGTTTTTTTTTAGTTAAGCTACAAAAATTTGACACGGAAAGAGGGCACACAAGTACTGATAGTTTAGGGCATAATGCCTACTCAGAGGCACTTTCAAATAGTTTTTTTTGATTTTATTATACGATTAAATGAAATATAATAAAAAGACTGGCCGCCATTACTTTCACCGGGGACTGTATTTAAAAATTAAACAAAATAAAATAACTTAGCTACCCCCTTTGTTTTTAGGATTTCCCTTCTTTGTCGCCATCGTAGTTTATCTAAATTTTGGATTCAGTAGTTATTACGTAGCGGCAGGTGCGGGTTGGGTTTTATGGGAATCATTGGTGAATTGTTGGTATTGCTTGGTGCAATTACCAATCGAAAATTCCATAATTTCGTGGGAACTGACCATTTTTTTTACTTTCCGTTGCTTCTTCTGTAAATCTAGCTTAATCAGTGTGTGTGTTTGTGCGTTCTCGGCTCCATGGCTTCTTATAGTATTGCCAAAGAGTCGATGCGAATTTCCCTTAATTCGCAACAAATTTAAGTCGTTGATCGGTCAATAACAAAGGTAGAGGAGGTATAATTTATTAAATTGCAATTTGGATTTTTGCAGACCATACATGAAAATGCTGGGACATGTGGCCGGACATAAATTATGGGACTGTGAATTTGTACATGCCCCTTTTTCTGTATCGCTTCAGTGTAATGGTGTAAACTCCAAAAAAATTTTCGTCCGTCGGAAAATCCGAACTACCGTGAGATGTATGTGTAAGAGATATGTATGGAGTATTATTATCATAATTATCATTGTTATAATTATTACAATTATCATTCTTTATAATCATATTTATTTCCGTTTTTAAGTGTCGTCAACTGTATTAATTTCTTGTTACTTTATGACATACTATGGTGGTGCAGGAACTCTTAAATCGACAATATGTTTCATTTTAAAATGCTACTACTCAACATAGAGGCAAAATTTTCAAAATCTGACCGGTAACTTTGTAGAACTTGTTATAAAGAACAAAGTTACTGATCAGGTTTTGAAAATTTTACCTTTATGTTGAGTAGTAGCATTTTAAAATGAAACATATTGTCGATTTAAGAGTTCCCACACCATATCATTTTTTTTAAAAAAATTAATAATTAACCAAATAGAAATGACATCCGACCTGTTATTGACTTCGCACTCAAACAGACTCGATGAACTCAATAAAAATTCCAATTTTTGTGACATTTCGATTATTATTGGTGAAAATCAATGTACTTTTTCAGCCCACTCGGCAGTATTGGTGCGCAAAACCTCGAGTTTTTAAAATGTTGCTAAGGTAATTTTATGTCAAAAACGAAGCGATACTATTAATAAAAGTAACAATAAAAATTATTCGTTTAAAATTGAATAGATATATTTACAGTGAGGCAGTTTCAATAAGTCCTGTTATTTCTTTAATAGTTATTTTAGTTTATCTTATTCTTTGATTTAATTATCCCAGTTGCCACTATTTTTATCTTTGATAATAAGTTGGTTTGCATCAAACTGCCACAGGAGACCTTTAGAACCTTTAGTGAACCCCATTAATTGTAAATCATTCAGTTTTTGTTCTCTTACTGATTGTTCCTTTGTTAATTCATTAGTTTCAACAACTCTTGTATTGACAAGAACACCATTCTTCTAGAGACCCTTCCGAATCTCACATTTTAGAATATCACACTTTCTGTTTCTTATCATGTATTCGAAATATTTTTTTAATGCGTCAAAAAGAAAGACACAATTTGCTGTTTTTGCTGCTGTTGTACTAGTTGAGAAATCATACTCTAGAATTTTTGAGAGATCCACTTTTTTGATATTCTCCGAAGTTACGTTCTCAAGACGAGGAATAACTTCAAGCCAACCCGAAGTTGTTATTACATGTTAAAACATCACCAGCAAAGACTCTAATTAATTTTTTTCCTTCATGCTCAATAAAATAACTACGAAATTTTTCAGCGTTGAAATTGATATGTTGTGGGATTAGTATTATCATTATTATCGTTATAGCCGGTTTCCAGATAATCTACCGAAAATAACTTTGCCTGTATAAAATATTCCTTGAAGTTTTCAACTCAAGCGTTTTGATGACTTTTGTGCCAACTACTTGTGTACTTTTTTGTAATGATGAGCTTTGGAACATAGAAAAATTAGAAAATTTAGCGTTGGCTTAACTTGTTAATTATTTTGTGAATTCAGAAACAACATCGTCTACCGATATTCAAGTATAGTTGCATAAGTACATAATAATTTAGCAGTACCAAATGCACAAATTTCTTGCTCAGAATAATAAGAATACGCAAATTTTTATTAGTCCGGCAAAACAAATCCGACACAAAAGAAAATGAAAAATTCAGGGAGACAATTTCACATATAACCTCTAACCCAACCTAACCCTAATTTTATAATCAACCTTTGGTAATTATAGCTGCACCACCAACTGTCATACATTAAAGGAGTAATACTCTATCTCTAATGAACCATGAAGCTCTTTTGTAATATATAATGATAATTCAAAAGAAAATATATTCTGAATTATGACGCTGGAGAGACGATGTTTAATATTGGTTTTGTTTTATTTATATATACAGTAGCAATCAAAAGAAATGCAACAGCGTCAAAATTTATCAATAAAATATAATAGAATGCGAGATTTTCTTTCTATATAAAGTTTTCATTTTGCTATTCAATACTTTTATTTTCTACATTGTAAAACAAAGTTGATAAGTCAATGGACCAGAACATTGGAACAGTGTTCGTTAGGAATAGTCCATTAGTTTATTACAATCACTGGACCTGGCCTGGTCCTGTGATAAAGTACATGGAATTTATAATAAACGTTAAGCAAAACAATTCGGTAATAAGAATCCATATGCTAATTCAGCATAAGCTTTCGTAAGAGTTTAACAGCATAATGCTGCACCGTAAAAGACAAAAAACTTATCACTAAAATAATTTCTTAAACCAAAAGTTTGTAACCGATCAAAAAACTTGATAAATCTATAATGAAGTTGAAAAAGAATATATATAAAAAGAATGAATAGTAAATCTGAGCTCTAATTTCTTATTTGCGGCACAGCTACAAACTAATGAAATATTATTTTATTTTCCTTTGTGCTTAATTTTCAATAGTCTGCATTATTTTATTATGGGCAAACTTGATTAGGTTCTAAATTTTTTATTTTAATATGTATCAAATAAAAATAAACAAACGTAGATATTTACAATGAATTATTTTTGGAATAGAAATAATAACAAATAAAATTGGCTTATTTACAAATGAGATAATCTACGTGTGCTCCGTTTTGATAGTTTAATTAAATATCATCTATTATTCAAGTTATAATTTTTGAAGAGAGAATTCATTGCATTTAGAATTGATGCAATGATCAAAGACTTTAAAATAAGATAAACTAATTTTATATTATTGCTTCTTTTAGATCTACTTATCGTTATGCAAATAAAGTAAGAGAACATAAATAAGAACATTTCATTAGATAGTTTAAATACAAAACTTAAAAGGTGCATACACATTAAACTCATAGGATTACGACAGATTTAAGACATGCCGAATTATAGTATGCTAGTTTCATAAGACAGAATTTCAATTAAGCAACATACATTATAGTGTCATTTAAGTACATGTACAACCTCTATGGACATGTATAATGCATGTAATAGTGCTTCGCTTTTCCTTTGTCATTAATTCGAATTGGAGCACGAAAATATGCAATTTGCCGATCTTTTAAATTCGGGCTGGAAAAGTAAATGTGCTTAAACTCTGCATGATTTGGTGTAATATTAAGTATTCCATGTGGACATTGTTTTGGACATTTATCCAGGACTAAGTTGACGAAAACTGGGCTTTGCAAGCACGGTTGTGTTAAGTTACGATAGCAGCCAAAATCGATTTTATGTCGAGTAGATTTGATACTAATACGAGATTCACTATTTATTTGTGCTTGGCCGAATTCATCAATTTGTCGCCCGAAAATTATACTGAAAGTAAAAGACTGAAATTGTAATTAACCGGTCAGTTTAAAGCGAAAATATCAAATATTATTTACCTGTAATTGATCGAAAACGTTGCTTCTAAATTGTCCAATTGATAAAATAGTTCTCCTTTTAAATAAATGCATGAGCTTCGAATATTATCGTTATGAGCAAAGAAATATTAATTGTTGAAACATTTACCAGTTTTGAGATCATAGCAAAAAGCACAAGCATCAATAGCATTATTCTCATAAACAAAATGAGATCTCGTAACATATTTGGACTTTGCAAAATTTACTTGCGAATCTTTGGATCTTGAAACACAAGTAGCCAATAGACTTTCATCCGGACACAGTTCGCGCGAGGAAATAATACTCGCCGAACAATTTTTATTCCCGACTTTGATTTTTGATTCGCCATTTTCAAAAACTAGCTTTGTTGGCAACATGGTTGATGTACCAAGTACGATCCAACCTAATTTTATTGAAAATTTTTGATATTTTGTTTTTTTAGCTAATGAGCCAAGCCGATGCAATAGAATTACAGGCGGCTCTTTTTCATTCATATAGTGTACTCGAGAAGCAAATATTGTATCTGAGTTGTCATCTTTCATATCTTTCATTTCGGTAACAAAAATCTGGCAATTCGATAAATCATATTGTTTCGGAATTTCATATATACATGGATCCGGTTTAGAAATATCCATCATAAAACCTAAGTCTACAACTTGAGAATCAATAATTTGTGTTCCAAAAGCTTCGGCTACTTTTGCTCGTCTTTCTTCGTCAAGTATATCAAATATTGAATGAATTTCTGGAAAATATGCGGCTACCTCCCAAGTTTTATAATCTTCTAAAGACGTGAACCATTCTACAAATTATATATGTATGTAAAGAATGAGTACAAACCAGGCGGGTAGTAAATTAATAAATATAGTTTTACATACCACCCGGGTCTCGTTCACGAAAAAGATTTTTCAAACCACCACGAATCTCAAAACAAGTGTATTCGCTAGCTACTGCATTCATCTGATTGGTTTCTTCGTTTTTACCACCTACTCCTCCTCCGAAGGATAGATTAACTTTCACTTCTTTCCCTTTGGACCTTTTATTTTCATTTACAATTGATCCTCCTTTTTTAACATATAAAATGCTTCCTCCAATTCCAAGTTTCTTACACCAAAATTCTCCAAACTCACTCGATACTTGTTCAAGGGATTTACGACGATTTTTTGATTCAAGTGCCTTATCTACTGCTAAAACAAATTCTTCAGTTGGTTTGATTTCTGATTCGGACATTGAGAATATCGCTTTTATTCTTATTGATTTCTGGTATGTTTTTGAGTTCACGTTATTTTTATGTTTGACATTATTCGACTGGCAAGAACCACCAAACCTCGCAAAAATCGGTATACTAACATTTTTATATAAAAAATAGGTAAATAGAAAGAACATCAAGTAAAAACTTGAATAATACCAATAGCCTTACGATGGTAATTTTGCATCTAGATTTGTTGTAAGAAATAAACTTTTTATACGGATCTCGTCTATTTCCGTTTTACAATTTAATTCTTGATCCAAGACAATTTGATTTGGCAACGTAGTCTTCGGAAATTTTACAATTTTAAATGCTTTTTCCGTTGCAGATTTGGGCCCGTTCTCCGTAAAAAAGAAGCCATATTCGAGTAAATTATTATTGATAATTTCAGTCCAATTTGGTTCAAGTTCACCCTTTATTTTCATATTTTTAGGATTTTTAGTATCGTCGATAACATCTTCTAAAAAATATTTTCTTTCATTGTTATGTGGAATTATTGGTGTGCCTTCTACACGTAGGCATATAAAATAAGCTTTATGTCCCATTCTTATTTCTGGTACTTTGGCAAGTATTTTACGTATTTCTGTAAGATTTGCAGCTTTAGGAAGTTCAGTAAGGACTGAAACATCATCATTAACTAGAACAGTAACTTTGAGGTTTTCAGAATATGTGTTTTCCATGTCATCATAAAGAGAGCTGTATACTGCATAGCATTTAATCACGATAACGACAATGTGCAGTTGTTTGTTTCACAAATCATTGTTGTTTCCGATTAAAATTATCGTCATACATGTACAGTGGTGGCACTCAAAAGTACTGCATAGCGAAAAGTTTTACCGTTACGAAAAAAATTCTAGCGCCTCTAATGACTCTGGTCTATCGCTATCGCTAATAACCTAGCGCTAGTGGATTTTTATTGTTATTTTAGGGGGTTCGTTAAGCGTTGGGTTTTGGACTTGCTCAAAATCTAAATTGGATTTTAGAAAATTGGACTAGTCCAAATTAATTTTAGTTTATCCAAAATATCTTAACGTTGATATAGTAAAACGGCGATATCTCTGATTGATCTAGCTGAGACGGACATTTTTGATGGAGAACAAAATTGTCTTCCCGACATTTTTATTAGTAGTCCAGACCAGATTTAGGCATTTGTTTCTTGTATTTTCACATTTCTCGCATTTTTCATTTTTTTGTGTCGGTTCGTTTTGCAAAAATTTATGCATTATAGTTATCGCTATTATTTGTTCTAACCAAAACGGAACATAGATGCACTTCATTTACCGTTACCGATACAGACAAACATGGACCGTTTAGATTAATTTTGATCGTACATGACTGTATTATCCTAATACGTGTACATGTATATTTATTAGACACTGATTACACCAAATGAATAAATGCGTAAATAACTTGAATCATATAAAATAGTAACAATATGACAAAAAGTTAAGAAAGATACAACAATTCAAAATTGGAAACAAAGTTCTAATCTACAATATGAAAAGATATGTTGAATATGGAAACAAGTTTAAATCTCAATAGAAGAATAGTACTACATATATGAAACCTATCAGAATGGAGCATATAAATTGCAAAATCAACAAGAACAGTTACTCAAGAAATCAATTAATAATGTACAATTAAAAATATTTTATGAGTGACAAACTTTATTTGAATCAGAAATAATAATAGAATATGTAAGTCTCTTATCAATATCATTATCATAATATTAGTATTGTAATACTTTCCCTTTTGTAAGCACTATAAATACACCCCTTTATCTTATTCTTTTTCTAAAATTTTTCTTAATACTTTTCTTTAATTTGTATTTTAATTTGTGTTTTCTTTTTCATAATGTTTTTATCTGAATGGATCTTATTATGTATGAAAAAATGTTTCACTAAAATGCTAGAAGGTTTGTTTTTATATCAATCAAATGAAATAATTCTTTTTCAACCCAAGATGTTATAATTAAAGATGATAATGAACAACAATATTTCACTATAACTCAAAATTTCTATCAATATTCTGAATTTCTCAATAATTTTCCCTTTAATGATATAATTATTTTTGAATTACAATCAGCTATATCTTTTTTTAATGTATTTAACTATTTAGAATTTCTTAAAGATTTTAATGAATTAACTATTTATAAAGAAATTATAATTTTTTTATATTAATATTTTGTATATCAAAAATAATAGAACTAGCTTAATCTATAAATCTAGTTTCAATCACAGAAATTATCAAAGAACAGAAACAATTAGAAAAAAAGATGAAGAAAATTTATAGAATACAATCTAATTATCACTCTCAAAAAAACAAAATTGGATAATTATAGAGGGAATATGACTATATAAAAGTTTTTTACTATATTTATATATTAATAAAAAAGCAAAATAAAATAAATATAAAGGGATATAACTATAAATGAATGTGATTATAGAGAGATTTGACTATATTTATAATAGAATTAACTCTTTATTTTAAGATTAAAAACTTACTTTATAATTAATTGTAATAATATAAAAAACAATTCCAAAAACTCAAATAAATAATATATTGAAAAAAAACTTTTGTGAATAATTATATATTATTGCACAAAGAACCTTTAAAATGTTTGAAATAGAAGAAAATATTCTAAGTCTCATTCTTGAATTAACTCCAACAAAAATATATTGATTAATTTATAAAGAAATCAAAGAATATTAAAAATTATTTTAAATTTTATAGAGCAAAATATTTAAAGAAGAATTAAATATTATAGTAATAATAATAATTTTATAAATTCAAGAAAAACTATAACTTTTAAAAATAGCAGAAAAATAGAAAATCTAAAAATATGAAAAATAGTAAAAATAACTTATTAAATATTATTATTTTATCCATTATTTTATTTTTTATTTTATTTTATCTTTATTTTATCTTTTTATTATTTTATCTTTATTATTCTATCTATTATTTATCTTTTTATTTTTTTAGTTTTTATTATTTTATCTTTTATTTTATTTTATATTATTATTTTATCTCTTATTTTTATTTTTTTTATTTATTATTTTATTTTTTTACTTTTTTATTCAATTATTTTACTTTTGAAAATTATAGTATAATTAAAAATAATGTAATAATTATTACAATATAATAACAAATAAAGTATTATTTAGTTATAACTAGTTACAACTTATAAAATTTTGAAATTATAATGTATTGCAACAAGTAATAAATAAGTATTATATACTTGCTATATTATCTCTAATTATAATAATTATATTTGAAATTATATTTTTGAAAATATATAAATAGAAATACTATTTGAGTCTTAATTTAATATATTGCAAATAAAAAATAAAATTCTCTTTCAAATAATATTTATTTTTCTCTTTTTTAATTATATTTATTAAAGCTTATATATAATTAGCTTTAGATTATATTATACTGAATAAAATATTAACAAATTTATATTATATTGTATTATTGTTATTAGCTTTGAAATTTAGATCATATTATATTGAACAAATTATTATTATTAAAATTATTAATTTTGAATATTAAGTATTTTGATTTTATTATTAAATTATTAGCTTTATATTATATTGTACCAAACAAATTAATATTTAATTTTTATTATTTATTTTGTTATTTTTGAATTTAATATTTTGATATTTTTTATTTATGAGAAGAACAAAGTGAAAAAGTTTTTATTATTATATTATTTTAGCTCTGTAAAGATTGATATAAATAATGAATTAATATTTTAAAATTTTCTTTATAATTTATTCTCATATTATTTTATACATTTTTTCTTCTCTTTTGATTTTACTTTTTTATAATCTTTTTATTTTATTATTATATCTTAAAAATTAATATAGAACTTAGATATTTTTCTTTTTTTAATATTTTGTTTATTATTTAATTTTCTCTTCCAATTCTAATTTAAATTTGCTAGTTAATTTTACAATTAGTAAATAAATTTATAATAATATTATTATATTAGTAATATAAATTATTTTAAATTATGAAATATTGTGAAAATTCAAAAATATTAAAAAAATAATAATTATAACAAAAATAACTTAATATTTTATTCTTTATTTAATATTTTATCCAAGATTTTATTTTATATTTTATTTTATATTCAATATTTTATCCAATATTTATTTATTATTTTTTATTTAATATTTTATTTTTTCAATTTTTAATATTTATTTCAATCTTTTTAATAATTATTTTTACAAAATATATAAATAAAAATACTATCAAAGACTTAATTTAATATATTTCAAACAAAAATAATAAAAATATTAAAATACTTAATCAAAATCAATAAAATTTTTTGTTTAGCACAATATAATACAAAATCCAAAAATTTAATAATAATACAA